AAAAAAAAAAAGATTCTAGGCTATGGGACCAGCAGGTGGCATGGTGGTTAAGGTTCAAGACACTCTCACATAGCTGACCACAGTTCAAGTCCTAGAACTGGTGGCTTGCTTTCTAACTCCCCCCTGTCCCGGTGCCTCTCTCTAGTCAAATTAAAATAAATGAATGAATCAATAAAATTAAATAAATAATTCTTTTAAAAAAAAAAAATCTAGGCTAGAGGTCAGCAAACTACAGCACAGGCCAAATACAGCTTTCCACCTATTTTGTATGGTAGATGTCCAAGAAGTTTTTCAAACCTTTTTAGAAGGTTATAAACAATAAAACAAAGAAGAATGTGTGACAGAGACCTTATGTGGTCTGCAAAGCCTAAATATTTAGTATTTGGCCTTTTATGAAAAAGTTTGCCAACTCTGCTCCAGGATAATAGTTACTACAGCTTACTCAGTAATTTCAGATAATATCAACAAAGTTCACAATGAATCCTCCAAATCAACAGTAATTAAGAGTAGAGCTCTTCATAACAATATTTGCTCTCTTCATGTATACCACTTAGTTCCAAAAGCCAGTTAAATAATTTCTTAGAATGCTACCACAGAACCCAGCACCCTGTAGAGGCTAAATATCAAACTCAGACCACCTGAAAAAAAGACATTTCAGTTCTAGCCTAGACCACACAATGTGATGATAGAGCCTGGATATGGGAAACTCTTTACACTATGGGATACAGCCCAACTGATAAGTGAACTCAAGCTTCAACCGTTTTCTCATACTGCACACCCCTCCCTCCCATATTTTACTTGTAGTGCATCCCAGGTGAGATAAATACCTAGATAAGTATACCTAGAAACCTCTAACATGTTCTCTAATTAAGACCTCTCTTTCTCAAAGAGAGGTCTCTCACAGGATTTAAAAGAAAACAAACTCGATAACTTACTCCAGAGCAGGTCTCAGAACTCTGACTTTTAATGCTTCTAATATTCGATTTAACTCCACAAATGGTTCTTTCTGACTTGGGTCTACAGAAAGACCAGATTCCTGAAACAATAAAAAGAACTCTTGTTAGCAGTAACCAGAGTAAAGAGATAATGGTAAAAGTATATTCTAGATTACAGATATGGAGCAAGCCAATAAGGTAATTTCCTTTCAACATGTAATCTTAGGTCGGCCTTGTAGCGTAGTGATTAGGGAGCCAGATCTCACATGGCTGACCACAGTTTTAATTCCAGCCCCAGTGACTTGAAAAACATACCCCAGGCATGTATGTGTAGCCCAAATCCCAGTAGGATGGAGAAATGGAGGAGAAAGAATTGCGGTGTGACCACACTCCATTATGTGGTGCTTTTTCACTCTTCCCTAGCTCTCTGTCAAGAATATATGCCCTCTAACAATTAAAAAAACAAAATATCTAATTCTATGGCAAAGATTGAAGATGCCCCTTAGCATCATTCTTAACTCCTTTTCCTTTTTTTCTTAATTTGCTATAGGGCATGTACACTCACTGGAGAGACAGAGACAGAGAGAGAGAAAGAGAGGAGAGTGGGAAATTGCCCTCAGGAGGGGATGGCCATGCCACAATCCCTTCTCCTCCATCTCTCTTCTTGGGATTTAAAGGCATGCATGCACATGCACATGCACCTGGCATGTTTCTCAAGTTATCAAGTCAAGACTTGAACTGCAGAGTCCCGTGGGATTTGGTCACAACCACCACCAGGCCACCCAAAGTACTTCGTTTTTCTAAACACAAAATTCAGGGGCATGCAGTGGCTTAGAACAGAGCTTGGATATACGCACACTGAGGACTAATCCCAGTTCCTTCAATAAAGAACCTACATGGATGGCCTGAAGTTACTGGCCTCTCCAACCCCAAGAGCTCTCGTCTGTAGAATGAGAACAGTCATTTTTCCTTCATGGGCTATAGAGAGGAATAAAGGCAGGGTGGCATGAGGTAAACACTCAGCACATGACGCTGCCACTGTTATGACGTCACACTAGTCTAATGCTCTGAGACCCCTAAGGTCATGTCTAATAGACACAAAGGGCAGATGCTGCTCACCTGAAAACAGTTTAGTATGAAATTCACGTGATAAATAAAACTCTTTAAACTGGGCTAGATCACAGGAACAGACATTAATGTTTCTGTCCCCTTCCTCTTCTCTGCTGTACTAACCAACCTTCCCCATGGAAGAGGAAATAGAAAGGATTATCATTTCTGGTTCCCCTGATATGTGACTAACACTCTGGGCCAGGAGGAACAGGCATGAATAATTTGGATAACAAGTTCTAGGATAATCAATTTCACCACTTTAAGGAAGAAAAGGAGGAGGACAGGACAGTAAAGGAAAGGATGAAGGAAAGACAGATGAATGGAAGGAAGGGACAGAGAAATGGACTTCCTAGTAAAATCAGGTCGTCCCTGAGAAGATATTAAAAATCTATTTTTGGTGGTAGGAGATTCAAAACCCCATTCCACAAATAAGGTAAACGCCAAAGAGTTTTCCTTTGTTTCTTTTTCATAATCCCCCAGTTGGCACACTGTTACCTGGCAGAGCTCCTCGGCTACATCCAGCATTCCTTGTCGAAAGACGTGCTCCACCATCACCTCCTTGAGAAGCCTTTGGCTGTCTGCCTGCCAGCAGCCATCTCTGCCAACACTGCTGATGTCAGAATCGAAATTCTGGGGAAAAAAGGAAAAGGAATCATGATGACTTTCACCTTGCCTAAGATAAAAAATGGTCTTCATTTCTTTCTGAGGTAGTCCCATTAAGTATCAATTCCAGTTTATCTATAGACTATCATGGGAAGAAATTCTTCCACTGCCTCTTTCTAAAATTTGTCACTCTCATAGATTCTTGCTGGAAAAGAAAAAAATGCACATTTTTAGGTAGTATTTTGAAAAAAATATATACATTTAATCCTTTCTGTGAATAAACTGGCATCGAGTGAACACACTCACGTGCGAGACGTTATGCATAGCGGTATTTTCAGAGGTATGGAGAGATGACCTATAAAAGCATGTTCGATGCAGCACTGCCTGTACTGGCGGGAGAAGAGGACACAGGCAGCGAGAGGTGAGAGGGACACGAATACCTGTCAGCAAGCTGAGTAATCCGCAGCACACCTCAACTGCAGTCCTGAGGTCACGGTTATAGGGTAGATGGCCACACGTGAAGAGAGCAGCTTACATAAGCATCTTTGAGCTATGCACGTACAGTTCTGACTCAAAACAGCATATGACAAACCTTGAGAACAGAACTAGGGGATAAGAGAACTAGCCCCATGCACCCACCAAGGTTGGCTGCTGGGTGGTGCACACACAGGACAAGTCTTAATAGCTGTAATGGCTTTAGAAATACAACCGACACTGAAACTTAGTCAAGAAAAGAACTGTCAGAACTCAGGGCCTGATCCTAACCAGTTCAACTGCTCACTAAAATAAGAAGTATCAACATTCTTCGTGGAATTTAAACAAGACCCAGAGTATTAAAACATAATATTTTAAATGTCCAGGATACATTCAAAATATTATGCAAAATAATTTAAAGAATTATTCACAAGTTTGGCAAAAAGACATAAACCTACAGATTCAAGAAGCTCAATGAACTCCCCAAAAGGATAAACTCAAAGAAGTCCTTCTCAGACACCTCACAATCAAACTGCTAAAAACCAAAGATAAAGAAAAAACCGTGCAAGCAGCCAGAGCAAAGTGTGGTGTTGTAGAGAAAAACTATGATTCGAATAACTGCAGATTTCTCAACAGAAACCATGGAGGCCATAATAAAGCAACACAACACTTTTCAAGAACTAAAGACAGAACTTTTGTTCCAGAATTCTATATCCGGTGGAAATATACTTCAGAAATGAAGATGAGACAAAGGCATTCTTGGACGGAGGAAAACTGAAATTGTTGTTGGCAGACTTGCTAAAGTAAGTTCTTCAGACAGAAGAAAACACCAGAAGGAAATGTGAAACATCCACAGGGAAGGAACAGCAAATCTACATCATTGTCTGGGGCTCTCCCTGCCTAGTTCTGCTTCTACCTCCATCTTTCATAGGCAGGATCCCAATAAACCTCTTGAACTTCTTTTTTAAAAATATACAAACTGGGCTAGCCCCACAACGCAGCGGTTAAGCGCTGTGTGCAGGGAGCTAGATCCCAGGCACGGCTGACCCTGGTTTGAACGCTGGCCATGGCGGCTTGAAGAAGACATTGGGTACACGTGCAGTGCATGTATGCCCCAGACTAGGGAGTGCTTCCTTTCTCTCTCTATACCTCCCTCTGGTGAACTCATGTACCCTTTGGCAATTTTTTAAAAAGGTTTTTACATAACCCACTTGGGCTAGCTAGAGCCAGAGAGACAGAAAGACACCTTGGCAGGTGGCATGATACACAGCCGTGCCACAATCCTGTCTCCTCCATTCTCCTCCTGGGATTTTGGGCGAGCACCTTAACCACTGTGCCACCTGCCAGTCTCACCCTTTGGCAATTTAAAAGGCATACAAACTTAATTAGACAATATCATTTAGATTTTATTAAAATTACAATCCTAGTCAACCACTGCTTAAATGAAGTCCAACCAATACGGGATTATTTTATAGGACATACATAAACAGGTCCAACATAACCTGTGAGTGCTTGCTTCAGCAGCACACATACTAAAATGGAAACAACACAGAAAATTAACACAGCTGCTGTGCAAGAATGACATGCAAATTCCTAAAGTGCTCCAAGCTTAAAAGAGAAGGGAAGAGAGAGTAACCTGCAATAGCAGCTGCAAACAACTTACTATTTATAATCATCACAATGTAGGAGAACACTCCTCTCCAAAATTAGGCACGTTTTTCTTCCCTACAGAGTTATCTACCCTATTTTTAGAAGCCAAGCCAATAGAATGAAACTGAATACATACATTAAGATTTGGAATTCCCTCAGACAAAACAAAACAAAAAACCGAGAGTGCTGTTATAATCTTCATTTTTATTCATTTTCTTTTTACAGACATCCTTCTTGGTCGAAATACTTAACCTCAAGATGAACACACAGGCTGACTCCATGGCACAGCAGTCAAGTGCCATGCAAGAGAAGTCCCATCACGTCATCACACATGGCTGCTGCAGTTTTTAATGCTGGGCCTCGTCAGCCTCAATCATGCCAGGAACACACACGAGTGTCTAAGATCTAACGGGCTAGAGGGGTGAAGGAGGGGTATGATGGTGGCATGACCAGACCCGTGAGGGTGTTCCCTTCTCCCTCCTGTCCTTCTCCCCCTCGCCCCATAGGCACACATGCTCTATCACTAATAAAGAAAAAACTTTAAAGGAGGGGGAAAAAAAATGGAGCCAACTCCGTGACCTACTGTTAAACAGAGTTAGATTCCACATGGCCGACTGTGAAACTTGGCCCCAAGGGCTTGAAAAATGCACGAGATCTGTGTTTGTATGCTCCAAATCCCAACAGCACAGAGAAATGGAAAAGAGACTGCAGTGTGACCACACTCCACTGGGAGGTGCATTATCTGTCACCTTGTCTCTCTCTAACTAGAACATGTACTGTCTGGGAAATTTAAAAAATAAATAATGGAAATAATGCAAAGTACCTAGATGCTAAAGTAGTAACATCCATGCACATACTAAGTGTAGACTGTTACAAAAACATAACTGCTTATATGAGGTTTCATATTTCATTTCTGCTTTTCTAATTCTGTCTTGGGAAATAATGTTATAACAGTTCAATACTTTTAAGCAACTTACCACATCTGTATGCTGTCTATGACAACTGCAACACTGACATGCTACTTTGCTCCCCTCTGGACGAGAGTAAAAGGTCCAGGGGGTGATCAACATTATAGTCTCCCACCTTTTACTCTCCCCCAGAGGGCCATTCAAATGAATAAAGGAATGGCTATCTAAAGATGAAACTATTATTACAAACTCAGGAATCTGACTGTAATTCTCTAAATGTCTAAGTGCAAGAATTACTAAAGACTAATTAAGGAAAGGTCCTCACTAATCTACCAATTTCATTCAATCTAAACACAACCCTCAGGTTTCAACTTACTCATTTAATAATCATTACCCAACTTCATCAGTCCAAATTTATCAGCTACCTATTTCTCAGGAAAGACATGAAACAACTTTGGAAGATATTGGTCAGTTCAAAGCACAGGCCATGTTCAAATAGACAAGTTTAGTTGAAGGAATTGTGTCAGAATCTTAATAGCTACCATCATATAGTACCTGTTTAGTTCAAACAAAAGTATTTAAATTCTTTCTTTAATATACATACCAAAATAAATACCGATCACTTAGAAAACTTTAGAGGCTAATACTTAAACAATTTCTTTGAGGTTTGTCATGAAATTTTTCAACAGTGCCCTTCATGTGTCCTAATTTCCTTAAGGCTTACTATGGCCAATACTATAACAGTAAGAAAAATTAAACACCTCTACAGAATATCTCTAACTGAATTTGAAATGTATAACTTATTTGCTAGTCTTGGGAAATAACCAAGCATGAATAAGCTGTACTTCAAATGAAATTTTCTGGGCTTCCCTCTACCATTCTGATATTCTATTGAGTTGTCAGAAAAGTCATGACTCATTTTTTGCACGGAATAATACATCATGACTTTTCTGATGACCCAATAGCTTAAATCACTGAGGTAGATAGTAAACTTCTTTCATAGCTTATTTTCTGGTCACTAGTAAAAATTAAAGCTAAGGTTATAAAAAGAGGTTAAAGAAATGCCATTCAGCGTCAAACTCCTTTTAACTGCAGGCTCTTACTCACAATTTCATCAGAGCTAGCATCAGCTCCCTTCTGTTGCTAGGTGACCAAACTCATTTGCATGGCTGCGCAGAAAATCAGCATCATAGCAAACAGGCGAGGGGTGGTTAATGAAGAGAAATACCTGTCCACTGTTATATTATTAACATTTTCTCATTTACTACACTTTGCCCTTTCATGTTTTTAAAGCAAAGAAAAGCCTGGCGTAATGTTCTCAAACCAGAAGGATGAATTCAAATAAGAACCACAAGCAAAAAGGTACATATTCAAGGGTGTGTCCATCTGGAGAGGATATTATGGCTTGGAAAGAGAAATTCAGGACACACTAAATCTGGAAGTGAAGTGGAAGAGGAGAAAATAACTTTAATAAGACATCACTATGAAACAAATCTAACAGACCAGCCTACCTTTCTGGCCCTATCATGAACATGGTTACAAATCAGTCAGACTTTAAGGTCTGGCTTTCATTGTTCCCCAGCAAAAACCAAAACATTTCTCAAATATGCATTATGAAATTTTGATTATTGAGCTGACAGTGGTTAACAACACAGGATGAAACTCAGTATTTGTTTTAATTACAAAGAATCAATTCTCTAACATGGGTTGTATTTCTTTAAATTCTCCATCCACCTTGAAGGAAAACTGGTGTAGGAACCTTAACAATGCATTCTTGTTGCACCTACCAGGAATCAAGTTCCCTCCTAAGCATCCAGTCAGTCTGGTTTAGCAGTGAGAGGTAGACTATAAAAACTACTTAAGAGAGTAAGAACTAGACTCTGGTTCTCCTCAGACTGGGAAAGTAGCTCACACACAACCCACAAAACATTAGTATTCAACAAAGTTTCAAAGCATACGCATGCCTCCTTTCAATAAGGACAAACCACCTAACAG